TGTGTGTGTGTGTGAGAGAGAGAGAGAGAGAAATTGAGGAGAGGACCCGAGACCTGATGTTTGATAACATTTACCTCATCTTATCAGAGCATATTTAAATGGCTATCTTTATTCTTTTCTTTCTTCTTTTCTATTTTCCACCATTTCTCCTATGTTGTTTCCATTAAGCAGTTCACATTAATTCATGAGGTACAGGTTGGAGAGAGAGAGAGAAAGGGGGGAGAGACAGCCACAGAGAGAAGGAGAGAGAGACTTGTTTTATCAGGATGTCATTCAAATGGAGGGGTGAAAATTTGCATCACAACAGCCTGAAGAGCAAGAGAGGGAGACACAAGAAAAGAGAACGAAGGAAAGCGAAAGAGAAAAACCCCCATGGGAGAGGAGCAGTTTTAATAAACAGCAGGAAGAGGGTGAACACACAGAGAAACACACAGACCAGCCAACCCCGGACCTGCTCAGACTGCAGAAAAATCAAGAGAAGTGCGGGAAGGCCAACGAGACAATTCCCTAGAATCTAGATAAACACATGTCCCTGTTAAATGCCATGACTGTCTCCCGAAATCATACTTAAATGAATTTAAATCGGCCATGAAAATATCAGATATTAGGAATTCAAATGAATATTTATTTCCTAAGTGCTTTCACATTCATGAGCTATTTATTCAAGCTCTAACAATCCTACAAATGTAATATTTGTACAACTAATAAAACACAGAAAATAGCTTGATCAGGTTAAACTAAGGTAAAAGGCAACCACAATTTCAAAATAAATAATATAAAAAAAAGAAATGAAAATATATAGTTAAAAATGTCTTTAAATGTTTAGATGAATGAATATGAGAGGTACTGAAATTTGTCTCATTTTCCTCTCCTGTTCATTTGTGATTTATTATGGTTAGTTGCATTTTTATTTAATATGATAGATACGGAATAATATGATGAAAAAACTTAAATATTTATGTAATATTTATTTAAACAACAAAAAAATAAATATATATATATATATAAATTAAATACCCTTGAATTTTGCATTTAACTACTATATATTGAAATTGAATAATTGAGGAAAAATTATTTAACATGGTATTTACAGACACAAAACTGTACATCTTTGATGGGTGGATGTCAGCGCACTTAAATTGTGCTTCTGGACAGAAGGAGGACCGGTATCTCACAGTGAGCCTGAGACTATCTCACCCCTTCATACACACACACGGCTAGCTCAAGAGCTGGTCCTTAGCCCCAGAAGCACATTAGATGTGATTACTGCTCAAAGAGCGAGAGACAGACAGACTATGATGATACAACAGTGCCCCCTACTGAAAGTAACTAAAGCACTGAGAGCAGAGCTGTGTGCTCAACACATACACACACATATGGATCAAGCATGTGTCAAACAGACAGCACTGATCAGCTGTGATCACCTAGATTTAAATAACCTCTGTATCCTCTCCAGCATCAGAGACTGGGGTCATCTGCAGACAGAAGGGTGACTATGCAGACAGGCTGTGTCCTGAAAAAGGTGAAAACATTCACTGATGCTCCAGAAAGAAACACAATGCATTAAGAGCTGGGGGGTGTACACATTTTGGAATTTGAAGATTAAGGTAAATTGTATTTTATTTGTCTTCTGGGAAACAAGCAAGAATCTTCTGTAGCTTCTTAAGGGCAGTACTAAATGAAAAAAAAAAATGATATTAAACAAAATAAGAACAATGTACACATCTTCATCTAGTTCAAAAGTTTTCCCCGTCTTAATGCATTATTTCTCCTTCTAGAACATCAGTAAATGTTTGAACCTTGTATAATAGTTTGAGCACCGGTGTCCCACAGTTGTCCTCTGTAGGATTTTGAGATCCATCTTTATACACCGTCACTGCTGGAAAGGGTTCAAAAATGCAAGAAAACCAAAGAGGAAATCCAGCACCTGGAGGATTTTTCTGACGAACATTGGGCAGTTTAATTGCTCAGGACAAACAAGAGACACCCATGGATCATAACAAATTGAGTTCCCTTTTACTTCTTCTTGAGCTTGAATATTTAAATTGTAAAGGCTTAATCTTTCCTGACGATGCAACAATGAATGGCGACTGCAGAAAGCAAAAAGCTGAATCCCGGACATTGACGGCTAGACATGTCTGGAAAAAGAGGATGGTAACCCCTACTACTCAGCTTTCTCCACAGAACAAGAGTCTGCTAGCTTAGGCCCTGTCCACACTACTGCATTTTCGTTTAAAAACGGAGACCTTTTGTTACGTCTGCACCTCCCGTCCAGAATAAAACGGAGAAGTTTAGAGGAGCTGCAGCTCCATTTTGCGTTTTGAATCTCTGGAGGGCGTTTTAGTGTAGACGGGACGCCCGTCACGAAAAAGCTATGTTTTTTTGTTGTTGTTGGGTTTTTTTTTAACTCCCATTTTAATAAATTATTTTTTGGTAATCAAAAAGCATGTCTAATTCATTAAAACTGTGAAACTTATACAATATAACAATCATCTATTAGAATATTAAAATTAATTCAATTTAGGGCACTATAACTTTAATTATTTTTGTTTTGTTTTATTGATTCCATTTGAATGGTTTAATTACATTAACAAACAATGATTTAAATAGTGATGATTTAAGCAAAACATTTTTCAAAGTTTAAACCAACCTTTTTTTTACGATTGTTTTTCTCAAAATCAACTAAAATGCTGCTGAAGTAATTCTCAGAGCTGCTGTGTAGCTGAAATATAGGCTGAAAACATTGCGAGCACCATGCGTACTTTGAGTGTTGTGGTAAATGAAACATCATTAAATGGTTCATTCAGAGACACGCAGAATATGCATGATTTCTATTAAAATACTTTTTATTCACATACACTAGTCTAGATCGCTATTTTATCCAAGATATGACAATTCCGCGCTATACAGTAAATTCCGTTTCTATGCCTGGATTCCGCAATTCTGTCCGTGTTTTCTGCATCGCAGGAATGAAATATAGTCCTATGGTTGCCAACCGCCGTAAAAAACATGAAGTCATCGTCACTTATTCAGATCAGTGATACTTTTTGTACACAGTTGTAGCTTGAACTTTAGAAATGCTTGGGAAAATGTAGCTTGTGTGTAGTGTGTGGACTCTACCGCACTACTTGATCAAAAAAAGAGCTTCGCTACTAAAAAACTATTTGAATCAGAAAACAGCAATGCTACCACCACGCTACTGAGAAATGTTATTAAAACAATAGCGTCACTACTTGTAGCGACGCTACGGCCCAACACTGGTTTCCAACACTGGAAAGCTTAACGCAAATGGGTGGAGTGTCCCTTTAACCTTAAAGCACAAACATTGCAACCACAGTCATACTTACATGAATGATTATTTAAGTAAAAAATGTATGGCATATTAACACAATGAACATGTATTAAAGCATTTTTAAATAAAATAATATAAAGCAAAAATGACAGCGCCTTTTTGGCACCAAACATTTTTAAGTCTTCTATGGACATGTTGGGCATATCTGCTAAACAATGCAGAAAATAATTGGTCAAAAGGGGAATTGATTGAATAATTAACACTTGAACAAGTAATTAATTTTCCCGTAAGACCTTTGTTCATCTTTGGAACACAAATTGACATATTTTTGATTAAATCTGTGCGCTGGATCACTCCTCCATAGGCTTCTAAGGGATTTAAACTTGCCAGCCCAGAAAAGTTAAAATAGTCCAAGTGACGGCAGTGGCTCAACCTTAGGTTTATCAAGCGACGGGAATACTTTTTGTGCGCAAAGAAATTCTCAAATTTAATCAAAAATATCTTAATTTGTTCCGGAGATGAACGAAAGTCTTACGGGATTGGAACAACATGAGGGAGTGTAATTACTGACAGAATTTACATTTATAGGTGAACTATCCCTAACACAATAATATGTATTAATATAATATCCTACATGAGAGCCCTGAATATTAGTTCAAGACTAGGGTACAGTAGATTATGAGAAAGTTCAAAATAACATTCTGTCAGGACAATAAGGCTAGTTAGCAGGCACAGTTAGCCAGATCAGACCAAAACAATGCGATTACAGTTAGCCATGCTAGGCTACAGGCTAACAAGGTAAGGTTCTCACGACATTATTATGTCTTACTGTCATCACTCTTATGAGGAAATGCTTTCAAAAACAACTCTGACTAATCTTCAACTTCTTTGATTCATCAGTTTGTTTAATAATATTCATCAAAATCTTTTCTGCCTCAGACAGTTCCATGTCTGCAGTTGTGTCAGCCATTTTGAATGTTGTTTTAGGACACCAAATACACTTACGCCCTTCTGGCTCTGAACAAAAATGTGGATCCTACATGGCTCCAAACATTACTCACACTTTTGTGTAAGGTCTTTATTGTTTTGTTGCTTCATTCAATACAGTTTGATTTGAAACCAGAAAAGAATTATTTTATTCTTTTTTTTTTTGGCACCATTGGATAGAGCTCATCGAGACCTTTATTTTGATATCAAGAACTCATATTCGCTCAAAATGCCACTTACGCCCCTCTGGTTCCAAGCCCTTGATTTTTAGAGTTCATAAAATTGCATATGCTCGCATTTGGCGATTGTTAATTTTAGGCCCTGTATATACCTTATTTTCTATATTCACTGCCCACTGACAGTTGTGAAATTAACCTTTTATTCTTGCAAACAGAAAAAAAAATAGTAATTAAAAAAAAGAGTAGGTTGAATGACTAGGTGATGATGTTGTTAACACAGATTTCTTCCATGTCTCTCGGACAGCCACACATAATATGAACACTTGTTTCACATTTACCACAAGGATTGTGGGTTTAAATATTGTACAATGTGTTAAGCAGTACTGAGAATATAACACTGTACTGGTAGCATAATCAAATTAGCCAAAATGTTTCATAAACAAACATGCACATCTACATCTGAATGTCAGATGCTGAATTGAGCGGAAATCTGGGCGCAGATTCTGTACAGGCTTGCTTACAGTTCATTCCATCACTCTTACCATTCGCTCCATTTCCTTCCAGTCTTTTTCCATCTGTTCCATGGGTTTAGTCCACCAGCTGCAGAATCGAGCAAAACGCCGGCCCTGGAACCAGTATTGCCTCAGCCATTCAAACTCCACCTGAAATGAGCAACACAGGGTCAAGATGTTAAAGCAGCAGAGTGTCATTTCCACACCGCTAGAGACAGCTAAAAAGAACTGCAAAAATAAGGAGTGTTTTTTAAAAGGTTTCCCAAATCGGCATCTTCCATCATTTGGACAAACGTGTAGATCTGGCCCAAACTCACACAATTGGTTAATCAACTGACACTACACAAAGCTAAAAAAAACAACAACTTTTATTTAAAGTTGTCCCTGCAAATTAAATGGGATTTAATTGCAATTTATTTTTATTTCTTATTCACCTGTTATGATTTATTGTGTGTAAAGCAATTGCCATTGAATTGCCATTGTGCACTTAGAAATGTGCTACGTAAATAAACTTGCCTTACCTTAAAAATAATAGTAATACAAATAATAATAATAAAGATGCACTGACATCAGTAATTATTATCATTATTATAATTATTGTAATGATATTGCTAATAACCATTATATGGTCTATTATTTTAATAAATATTAAATATTCTATAGAATATAACTGTCTTTATAGAACATTATTTTATAGAATAGTCTATACCATTGTCACTACGTTTTAGATGTGAATCTAGACATCATAACATTTTAATTATAATATTCACTCACTGAATTCACTCAACAACGAAGTAAAAAAAAACAACAACAACAATAAGTTGTCTGCTTTTGTGTCTGGAACCACCATTCATTACAGTAATCAGGCTGTTAGTACTATTGGTTTCTGAACACAAGAACCAAAAAAAAAAGAACTCATTTTGAAAGACTTTTGAAAACTAGGCCGGTGAAGTCCAGTCCTTGAACAAGAGGTCAAACCATAGCAAGCAGCTGACATCTACTTAACAATGTCTGAAAAAAAACAGCAGTCAAGTGTGTTTGATAGTCTGTAAAATGTGGTTGTTGGACAAAAATGTTCTGTGCTCCAGTCATTCTTCACTATCCAGCTCTGTGGCCTATGTGTACTGTGTTATATCAGCGTGCTCTGAAACAACAGCAATCCAGACGTCTATCCATTTATCAAACTCCATCCATCCATCAGTGGGCAATTTAGTAGCAGAATAGAGCAGCAGAGGGGACTGTGTGCTAGTCACCTGAGTCAGTGAGGTGGGGAGATGGGGGAAGGGCAATGTGGCGGTGGGAGTGATTTTCAAAACTAAACACCCACGCTAAGGTCACACTAACAAGGGAACGCAGGTAGCCGCACATACACATACACAGATCCAGAATAAATCACACACACACACACACCTCTGTAACCACATACGTGCACAAGCCACTTGCTTTCTACTTGACATCTTTGCATCTTTGTGTGCCGCCGATCATAACTGTGTCATCAGAATAGAAAGGAGGGTGATGACATCTGCATTTCCTGTTTTCCTGTTTGTTGTTTTGTTTCCTTTGTTTATGTCTGCCGCTACGTTACACCCAGGAGAGACGTAAAGATTTATCACACACGCCAAAAACATCGCACCTACACACACTTCCCTTTCTTTCTTTTCGTTCTTTACTTCATTGCTTTCATTCTTCATCCTATCAATCTCTCACTTTCTCTCTCTACAGGGAGCAACAGAATCCACCACAGGCTCTCAACCTTTCTCCTCTGGGAATCTCCCCATCTTTGACTCTTTTGAAGTGATGAGTTAACCCTCCTAATGATGCTTAATGTATCCACGTGCACATGTGTATCTGTGTCTGCCCCACATGTAAATGTAAGCACCTCACATTTGCCCTCCCACAAGCTATGAACAAAGCACTGCTCCAAAATTCATTCTCCAGACACCCTCTTCGCCTTAGCTAAGAGTTACAACTAAACAACACGCCAACAACATTACAACCACAACAGCAACCAGAACATCCGCTCCGTCTCTAAAATATAAAGTTGCCCGGTTTGATCCAAGAGCAACTGAATGACTTGAATTAAAGTACTTGATATTTTAAACAACAAATTCAAAAACAAAACAAAAAAATCATGAAATATTAAGAACAGTTACCGTTCAATAATCAAGGAATTAATATGAGTAACGTAGATTTTAGATACAATATTGTCTGTTGTTGTTGCATTATACAGTAACCTTTGGATCCGTAAGGTTTTTTTTTGCATGTTTTTAAAAGAAGTCTATTACAAGACAAAAAAGTATATAAAATAACTGTACTATCTGAATATATTTTATATTATGCAAAGCTGAATGTTCAGCAGCTATTACTCCAGTCTTCAGTCTCAATATTCTGATTTGGTGCTCATGTAACCTTTCTCATTATTATAAATGTTAAAAACAGTTGTGTTGCTTAATATTTGTATTTTATTCTTTTTTTCAGGATTATTAGATGAATACAAAGTTCAAAACATGCGACACAGATTTTTGTGATATTATTAATGTCTTTACTGTAACATTTGAACAATTTTAAGCATACCTGCTAAATAAAAGTATAATTTTCTAAATTATACATAAAATATACATATAGCTGGTTTCCTTACATTATAGATGTAAAAAGAGAAAAAAGTGAAGACAATGTAAAAATTCCATTGTTACATTAAATGGAAAATATGAATATACACACATGAAAATATTTAAAAACAGACATTTGTCCTGTCCAGTGAAAGCACTAGCAGGGCAAGTAATATATATATATATATATATATATATATATATAGACCATTTCACAAGATGTAAACAACACTGGTCCAGAAGCACTTCCTGTTTCAGTTTGTAACTGTTTTCTTTATTTCACATGTAAAGAAAACATCTTAAAGATCTTTGTTTAACTTTTTGATTCAGTTTTAAATGTTCTGTTGGTTGTATTTTATCCCAGCTTTTATGTAGTGTTAAAAAACTGAAACAGGAAGTGCTTCTGGACCAGTGTTGTTTACATCTTGTGAAATGGTCTATATATATATATATATATATATATATATATATATATATATTATTACTGCTATCCAGTTGAGGCACTGTTTAGCTACTTTTAAGTTCGGAGTAGTAGAGTATGTTTAGTATTATGGCGCTTTTCCACTACACAGTACCAGCTCGACTCGACTCTGCTCGGCTCGCCTTTGTTTGGTTTTCCACTATGTAAAAAATGTACCTGTACCTTTGGGGTACTTTTTTTTGTACCACCTCGGCAAGGTTCTGAGCGAGCTAAGGCGATACTAAAATGTCACGTGAAAACAATGCCGACTGCTGATTGGTCAGAGAGAATCGTCACCATTCACAGCGTCATCATTACATGCACCAGATGGAGTATCCAGAATAACCCCGTCATGTTTAAATAGTTTGTCCAGAGACAGTTACAAAACTTACTACTTTTATTATGGCAACTCGGAAGAATACGTTGTGGTCAAACGAGGAGGTGCAGACTTTCCTTTGATTGGCGGCCAAAGAGAGAATCCAGCGAGAGCTTGATAGGGCAACGAGGAACAAAAGGTGTCGCTACGACCGGGTACTATTTGTGGCGGTACCGTCTGCAATGGAAAACGGAACGAAAAGCGAGCTGAGTCGAACCGAGGCGAGCCGATTCGAGTCGAGCTGGTACTGGTAATGGTGGAAAAGCGCCATTAATAGCACTATGTACTGTGAGAATGTAATTTTAAACCTTGCACCAAAAAAAAAAAAAAAAACTGGTGTGAACAGGTCCATTATTTGACAGACAGTAAAACTGTACGTCTGACACTCTTATTCTGCTTTATAAATACCAGTGTAGGCCATCAGTCTTTAAGCATTGAAACTGGCTTGAACGGGTTCATCTTTAGTTGGACTGAGATCAGACACCCAGGGTTTACTTTCACATATGGCCACCTTCAAAGAAATGCTACACTTTGTGTTGGTTCAAACCTACAATTTCTGCGGACCAATACCGACCGCTGACAGCCTCTCAACAGATGCCGGAGGCTACAAATGCTAGCAGCCGCTTTTGTGTCTGTCATTCCCCCCCGGGTTGATTGTCTGTCTGTCCTTCTGTGTTGAAAGTGCACACAGCGCCGAAAGCTTTGAGCCAACATGGAGGCCAGTTTCCCGCAGAGCAGGCCTGTAACGGGCACAGAGCTGGAAACTATGCGACTGGCATTTAGAGCCAAGCCGTCTGCTGCTGTGAGGTACTGAGACTAAATGCCACCTGCATATGCTGGAGGTGAGAAAGAGAGGAAGCAGACAGAAACAAAAAGGCTTTCAGTGACAGGTGGAGAGTCTGTCGGTCTATTTATCCATCTGAACGTGGTGGTAACTACACATTAGCTATGGTACTAGTCAGGTGGTCATCACGGTGACCTCCAGATAGAACACTGCAGCATCTTAAATATTAAATGGCTTAAGGTTTCCAGACATCTCTCTCAAACGGCTCACTGTTTGGACTACCAATCAATTTCACCAGAGCACCCTCGAGTCCAGATCTGTTGTGACTCAATCAATAGAGGCCAGTCTGTGCCGTTTGCTCTGTAAACCCACATATGTGTACACCTGGTCATACAAATAAAGAGCCATATATGTGCCTCCACATCAGCTCAGACAATGAGAATTGTAGGGATAAAAAACATAAGAACACATAACTATCTTTTTTTTTGTATGATTTTGTACCCAAAATAAACAATAAACTCAAATTAAACAAAGTTAAAGATAAATTTGCCTAACAGCATTATTTATTTATTTTACAATTTCTATAGATATCATGATAATGTTGCTTCTGTGAATTATAATATTTTTTTCATAATAATGTAGTGAAAATCTGATTTTGTGAAAGCCCTAAATTTTGTGTGCTTTTCATGTGTCCATTTGAAATTTTAATACGCTTTCACTATATAGAAAAGAGTAACTTAGACATTTCCAAAACACACAAGTTAGCAATGACTTAATGTTGTGTAAATGATGACAGAATTGTTAGCCCTCTAATTCCACAACGATGCAAGCTCAACAACTTTTCAGAAAACTATGTGGGACAAAACGTTGGGAGTGTGAGATGCAAAGAGAAAGAGGAAGAGAGGGGAAAGGATCTTTCCCAACAACTTCTCCAGCAAAAACCTCCCCTGAACCTGTGCTCCATATACCAGTACCAATCCTTAAAAATGCAGGTAAACATTGGCCTTTATCAACATCAATGGACTAACCTAGTACATTAATCCTGCACACTACAGATCCTTTACAGATCACCCATAAGAGGCTGCTTACTGCAATCTCCATGCAGTCCACCACACTAAACAAAAGGTAGACGCTGAGCTCCGCTAGAACAGTGTGCTGGGATAAATACACATATCAATAATAAATAATACACTAATACATCATTTAAGAACCCACACAGGCCCTCGTGGGCAGTTTCAACAAAATAGCCTCAATCAGGTCAGAGTGTTGAGGTCGGTATCCCCCGGGGAGGCTGCTGCCCCCGGGCAGGGGTATATATATATATATATATATATATATATAAAACACTTTATATTTTCAAGGTTTTTTAAGGTGCTGAGCGATAATCCAGGCGACTTGGGGTTCAACAGAGACCTATACAAGGCCGCACTGATGGTTAGGCCCTCTGAAAGAGCTATTGTTTGGGGTTTGAAAAATTAATGGTAAGTACAACCTTTTAAAAAAACCTCAGAGCAGCCTCATCTGTCATGGCCTGAGACACGCGTTTGGGATTTGGTCTTATGAGTACACATTTTAGAATGCTTAAAAAACGTTCACATACACACCTCGTTGTGAATGTCCTCAATGTGCTGAAGGGTGGAGGGGAGGAGAGAACTCAGACTCTTGGTGTTCTTCTCAGTGTTGGTGTGCAAATTCCCCAAGGCCTCTGAGCAGCGTTTCTGTATGTAGTCCAGTGTACCTGTACAACACTAAAGGAATAATTTTTTTAATTTAAACCAGAAATTATTGGTTGAGGACATGAAAGTTGATAATGCTACAGGTGCGATCAGGGCAATTGGAGAGATGATGCTCACCTGTGCGACTCTGTGAGTGGAGCTGAATCTAGCCGTGTCACCAGCCAGTACACAGTGCTGATGCGTCCGATTCAGATCATCTATATAAGCACATGCCAACAACACCCACACACACACACAGACAACAATCAGAAGAAACACACTTTAACATTATAATAAACTCTGGGAGGGAGCATTTGTCTTGGTTAATCAAACCAGAGGTCCTTATAGTGAAATCAAAGAACTGGGAATGAGGCAAAGAACAAAAACAAACTTTGCTGTGATGGGGCCTTTATTCAGAGGTTATACCCAAAGAATATAAATATACCAGGGCAGCTCTAGAAATGCAAGTCCTGCCTTCTAACCAAAAAAAAAAAAGAGCACATTATTACCAAAAAAAAAGGGCCAATGCTACTGCCGGTAGAGACTCACACTTAGGACGACACACTGGCAAGACCAACCCAAAATATGCTTTTTAACACTATTAGAGTATAAGAAACAACCTTTATAAGACAGTTCATGTTAGATTTTTATTTGGCCAGCCATTTTTGAGATATCATCATTTCCTTATTTAAATAGATAAGAGTTGGTCTTGCATGCCCAAATTAGCCGAGTGGGCGTTGCAAATATGTCAGACAAGTGACTTTCCTTGAAAGGGACTGAAAGGTATATGCCCCATTGAAATCAATGGATTCACCACATTCTCTGACGTAAAGCAGCATAAACTAGAGTGAGCAAAACAGTAACATCCGTTTAATTTCCACTATATACAATTATTCGTTCCTGTCACATTACATTGACTTTAAAACACTTGCTATCAAATAACACTGCCTTTCTCAACCTGGACTCTGTCACAACCTCAATATTAATCATGGGCCGTCCCAAATTCCTCTAATAAATATTTATCATTATTCTCTCATCGTGAGGTGGCTGCTGCACTCGAGTTAAAAGTGGGCTTTTAAATCTATTGGGTCAAAACCTCTCCCTAGGTCTGTCCTGTCCCTGGAGCATTGAGCAAACGAAATCTTATTAGCAGCTGTGCCGGTGTCGGTCCAACAAATTGCTCCCGCTAACCATCCCCAAATTCCATTTTTGAGAATTGACTGATTAGATTTGCACACAGAAGTCTCAGGCATCAGTGGATGGAGGGGAAGAGCAGTGACAGTGTTAGAGACTGATGGGAATGTGGAGTTGAATATCATTCTGCAAGTTATTTACTGTATGTCGTCCATCAGCTCCCACTCTCCCTTTTTTTTCTTCCCTTCTTCCTCTTTCGCCTTTCTATGAACTTATTTGATCTTTTTCCATCGGTTTAATTAATTTGCCTTACTTTCCTAATACTTCATTTACCTTCTTTCTCTTTAATTAATTTTCTTTTTTTTTTGTATTTTCTAATACATTACCTTCCTTTTTCACCCTATTTAACTTCATATGCCTTCCATCCTTGAAAAGCACCTGATGTGAGGTGTGGGTTGCTACACTGCAGCTTCTTCCATCCTCCTTGTCTCTTCATGCACCTTTTTTACCCCCTTTTCCTTCATTTTCCCTTCAAAAAAGCACCTGATGTGAACTTCCTTCTTTCCTTCCTTCAGCCATAAGACATATTCTCATTAACCATTCATGAGGCAGTTTCCCAGTCACACTTTCACCCTTGTCCTGTGCCCAGAAAACCCATTATGACCCATTATGTTTATATTGCTTTAGCTTTACACTTAAAATCACTTCACAGGACTGAGAGCACCATTAGGTAGGTATAAATAACTCCAACTTTAGAGCAGCCAGCAACACAGAGGTACGGCCGCTGGAAAGCCTTTCCAAATAGATGAAAATGTCCAAAGATGATTGATAAAATGTGTGCAATGGAGGGGAAGCATTAGTCATGCTTGTACACAGAAATCGGGAAATAAATAGTGTCCTTATCAAGGTCATCAAACACACTTTATGGGATATTTAGAGGAGAGGGTTTGTGCAAATGTGGGGTCGTAGATGGGGGGCATCTGTTGTAGCCATCAGTAATAAAGGCCTTGATTTACTGATTCTCTCCCAGTCTCAGTCCTGCTCTCAGACAGGGGTCACAGCGATTCATAAAAAAACATTTGGTTTGCTTAACCTCTCATGATAAAGGAACATGTGGAAGCAAAATCCTAGGGAAACAGACACACACATGCACATAAAAGGATGTCGATGTGCACATCCTCTGGGAAAGATAATTCCTGGTCTAATGCATTTCAACATGACCGAGACGATACAATCCCCTTTACACATGTACTTGAGTCTACTGTTTCTGGACACAGATGAATGCGATTGTGTACCTGTCATATAGTAGCAGTCTCCAGACTGTAGAGGCAAAGCGAGACCTGGTGTGTGAATGTCCCAGGCCACCTTCAGGCCGACACGCCAACACGCCTTCTCTTTCTCCACCTCCTCCTTCCTCAAACCTTCTTCTTCCTTCAGGTCTTCTTTACTCGTTCCTTCACCCTCGGTCTCTGTTTCTTGTTCTTTACCCTGTCCCTCACCATCTTTCTCACTCACCTCTGTAAACACAGACGTAGTTTGACATTTAGAGCAAAGATGTACCTACTGTATATCCTTTATAAACAATACCAATAAATCTAATAATTATTTATTTGTGATGGCCAATGACCGTTAAATGGTAAATATAGCATTTCTATAGTAACACTTTATTTTAAAATGTTTATTTTAAATCGAATTTGTGACATCACTGTACAACTAAATGTTCAATTTGATTAAGTTTAATATACATTTTAAATGTTTTAGAAAAAAGTCTCTTATTCTAACCAAGGCATGTATTTGTTTGCTCAAAAATGCAGAACATTGAAATATATAATAAAACATTATTACAATTTAATGTTTTCTATTTAAATACATTGAAATATTTAATAGAATTTTCAGCATCATTACTCCAGTCTTCAGGGTCACCTGATCTTTCAGAATTCATTCTAGAAAAATTCGGTTTGTGTTCCTTAATATATTGGTGGAAACAGTGAAACACTACAAATGTTTGAGGTAAATAAACAATAGCCTATATACGTTTACTGATCAAAAGTGATAGTAAACATTTATAATGTAAGATAAGTCATTTTCTTCTTTCAAATAAATGCTGTTCTTTTGAATTTTCTATTCATAAAAGAAAGCAAAAAAGTTTTCTACATTGATACTAAAAAATAGCCATTATTAATACATGATAATATTTGAGCAACAAATTAGAATGATTTCTGAAGGAACATGTGACACTGGAGTAATGATACTGAAAATTCAGCTTTGCCGTCACATTAATAAATTACTTTTTAAAATAAAACAAATAAAGAGCCAAAAAGAAAATAAAGAATAAAACTGATGAGAGAAAAGGAATTGAGAGGGCAGGCTGACACCTATCAGTAAAATCAATACTAAAGCACTCTTGGAAGTATGAGCCCTGAGCAAGGCTTTCTCTTCGCTCAGCAGGGATAAATAGTAACTTAATTTCAGCCTGTGATTTCTGACACAGCTCACAAAAGGCCATCTGCAGCCAACACGGCAGCGACGGAAAAGATTCCTTCAAAAACACATCAAAATCACAGTGGCATAAACTAATGCCTGTTAGAAAAGGAAATGAGCTGGATCTAGTCAATGTTGGATGAAGAGCTGAACAGATTTGTCACTGAGCGACTCCCCTGCAGCACGGCCAACATACTCTATAAACCCATCACATGAAAAGCATCAGTAACGTATTCACTTCAAAGTGTTCAGGTGAAACACAAATCTATACAACACACAGATGTTATCCAAAGGGACAATAAAAAAAGAAAACCATTCACGCAACAAACATAGCAACAAATAAATGATGTACAAAGTGAAATTCCTCTGAGTCTGAGCAACAACCCGTTTCAGCTGGTCTGCAGCATTTCATAGCGATTTCCACAAAGTGAAGGCAACATTTTGTGCGATGCCCTGGACGGGTGCGTACGCGCTGCGAAAGCGTTCAATCAGGGGAGTCTCTCTCTGAAGTCTGGAACTGAAGGGTCAATTTTACCTCTAAAAGAACAGCTGCGGAATAATTCCACACAAACTGACACATTCACACACAAAAACACACACACAAACCATTCATGCACTGTTTGAAGCGGGCCCTGGGGAGGTCAAAGGTCAAATCGGTCAGTAAGAGATTGGCGAAACAGAGCTCGTGAGGCAGGTGGTTCTGGTTAGCACACCACGCTCTGTTCTGTCGAACTGACACACACACATGCACACAGCTGCATGCTAAGCTGTTAGGCTGACGTGAAGAGAGACTGATGTCCAGAAAAACTTCTCCAGTGAGATTCGTGTGAAATATTAGAAGATCTGGCCCCTTCATGGAGCAAGTTCATACAATGGCTGCATGAGCACATTCAAGCTAAGTGAAGGATGGTTTTGAACTGGTTAGTGTCATAATAAATGTTTTAGGTTCTCAGCAGTTGTTAGCTAGAAAAATACAGGACTGTTTTGGCCCTTCAATAAAAATGTAATGGGTGGGAATGTTAAAAGAGAGAGTTTAGAAAAAAAAATACTTGCTTCTCCAGAACATACATAAAGATATTTAGAAACTATATTTTGATATTTTGGACTACAAGTACTATGACTGTTTGGACAAAAACTGTTCTTTGAAATATCTCATTTTATGTTTCACAGAAGAAAGCCATACAGGTTTGGAACGACATGAGAGTGAGTAAATAATAACTGACTTTTTCCGTTAATTACCACTTTAAAGGGTTAGTTCACCCAAAATGAAAATTCTGTCAGTATTTACTCACCCTCATGTTGTTCCAAACCTCTATGCGTTTATTTGTTCTGCTGAACACAAAGGAAGATATTTGGAAGAATGTTTTAATCAAACAGATCTCATTCCCCATTAACTACCATAGTTTGTAGTTTTTCTTACTATGGTAGTCAATGGGGAATGAGATCTGTTTGATTAAAACATTCTTCCAAATATATTCCTTTGTGTTTAGCATAACAAATAAACACATACAGGTTTGGAACAACATGAGGGTGAGTAAATACTGACTGAATTTCCATTTTTGGGTGAACTAACCCTTTAATTACTCACCCCCATGTTGTACCAACCCCGTAATACCTTCGTTCATCTTCAGAACACAAATGAAGATATTTTTGATTAAATTTGAGAGATGGATCACTGCTACATACTGTAGGCTGCCTAAGGGATCGAAACTTGACAGCCCAGAAAGTCAATGAAGAAAATGATTAAATATGCCATGTGACTACAGTGGCTTTAGTTTATGAAGTTTATCAAGAGACGTGAATACTTTGTGCGAAAAAACAAACAAAAATAACTACTTTATTCAACTATTCCTTTTCTTCCTTGTAGGCCTGAGACGAGAGTTCAAGAGATGTCCACGACGCATGCGCTAGAACTGAACTGAAGTACAGTTAAAGAAGATCGCAATCTCGCGCATGCGTCGTGGAAATCTCTTGAACTCATTATATTCCTAAATAAATGATTATTTCATAAAAAAAAAGAAATTCTTTCTTTCTGAAAAGAAAGCAGAGCACAGATTCAGGACACGAACCGAAGACATGGTTTAGGTCATATTAATATAATCTTAAATTAAAAAAAAAACACAAACAAAGATGTTCAACAGAAAACTGAAGTACATCATGTATTAAAGGTACATATGAGCTTGAATAGGCCTTCAAATATCGTCTGGACAAAGTGAGGCCTTGGATTTAAAGAGGTTGCGAACCACACAGATAGAGCCTCATGGAGCCACGACTCTGAGACAATATTATTTGACATGCTCTAGTCAAGACTTTTGACCCCTCACCTTCATTCTTTGGCTCTGCTGGGCAGCTATAGCTGTAGACAGCAACTGGTGAAAGAGGAACCAGGTTCTCGTCATGATGCCAACCAACTGCCATCTTGCCCATGCCGTAATAAGGCTCTTCCTTCAGTTGAGTCATGGCTGTGGGGTCCATGTAATTGATGAGGGTAACGTTAAACTGAACCGGGCTGGATATAGCAGGTGGCAGAGCGGATGAAGGAGGTGAGGAATGAGAGCAGCCCTGACCGCTGTCTTCTTCCTCTTCCTCCTCCTGCTTCTCAAGTAACCTGTCCTTAACACTCTCTTCGCACGTCCCCTCCCCCAGTGTGTCTTCGCTGTTTTCGGTGTCACTGCGGGATCGCTTGACGCCTCTCGCGTTTGTCTGCTTTACATCCGAGCAAAAGAACTGATTGAGCTCCCACAATGCTTTGCAAGCGTCCCTCAGGTCAGGGTCACAGCACTGTTTCTCTTTCTCATCTTTCTGACCTTCTTCTCCCTCACAGTGCCAAGGGATGGTGAACAGACGGGTGTCCAGATAACGGTACGTGTAGCCCGGCTGACCCACGAGAGCACGCGAAACGGCCGTAAAAACATCCCGGTCTCGGACTCGGACAAGATCTCGGAGGAGACATCCACGCCGCTGTAGAGTTATCAGAGCAGACTGCACCTTCTCATGAAGACCATCTGGCAGGGTACCAGACTGCCGTAAAGCCAGTCCTGCATAACTGGAGTCCCACTGTCAGATTACAGACACAAGCAAACATAATGTAATTATTAAAAACAAAAAAAAAACAAAAAACATGTGAGCAATTTGTCCTAATGTCATTGTCAATAGCTTTGCGTGAGTCTCCACACGTTCTTTCTTTCCATTTGTTTGTGACAATTAGATCTTTTATGCTAATTGATAAAAATTCAGACTGATTAGCTCATTAATCATTTTGACTCATTCGTGAACCAATTCACTGAAACGCATTTACCAGTCAGTTAAATGTTTTAGAGCAGAAAAAAACAAGGAAAATATATTCCCTAGAGAAATTACAAAACCTCAAAATGCGAAATGTGTAATTTCTGCATGAATAGCGCCATTACACGAATTACATTCATTGCAGAATTGAAATCTTATTGATCTGCCCTAATGGGCTGGAGATTGACATAACATTGGGTCAACCAAACAGCATGTGTTTGGGGCAGAACTCAAATATTGAGCAGGGGTGTTTGAAACTTGTTTTTGCAGTTCTGTTTGATGATGATAATGGCACCAAAATGATTTATTGGTTTCCATGCCTCTTGATTTAAAGTTTTCCATAGGAAATCCAAAAATGCATGGAAATCTTTATATTACACACAACCATTCGAATATTTTGGATAATCTAAGGCCTAATTGTGGTTTAATCCAAGCCTTGTCTGTGGAACTGGGCCTATGTCTTTACCGTCACTTTTAATCAATTTAATGTGTACTTGTTGCTAAATCTATATTTTTTTTAAATCTTACTGAACAGTAGTAAAATATCAATCGTTTAAACAGTAGAGTACATATATCAGACTTAAAATTATGAAGTAGAGTGGATGTTTGTATAAATTTCTAACCAATTCCTGAAATCCAGGGTCTGTAGGAGAAAGGTATGGAATCCTCTGCTCCCCCAGTTCCTGTATAAGCCTCCGCCTCTGTAGTTATGAAAAAAACAACAACACAAATACACATAAATTAAGACTTTTATTCAGACATTCTTTAATGTTTTCATCAGGCAGTATATTGGAAAGTCCATAGTGGGCTTTATTCAAAAATAGATTACCATCTAATAATGCAAAACTAGATGTAAAAGCATTCACACATCTACTCAATTAAAGAGCTAGAAAAGAGGAAAAGTTCTCACACTATAATAAGTGTCTCATCCTAGTCGGAGCACATTACCCAGAACCCTTTGCTGCCATCCCATAGTGCTCCCGTTCATGGGTAACTCAGGCTTTTACGGCTCTAGCAGAGAGTCTTCTCAAAGCCACATAAACTACGGCCTTCTATGCATCGCTCGTCTGTTAAAACTCAACCTGCTCTGCCCATCAAAGAGCGTTTCATTGGGCTGCATTCCATTCCGACCTGTAAATCCAACAGCAACCGGTGTAAAACTCTGATACCCAAATAAATTTCACAAGTGCACTCCTTCTGCGACATACACACGTCCTCTATTTCTTCACTGCAGGTGCAAGAGAGACGGCTTTCTCTCACCCCGTTCAGGTGGGGCGGTAGGGAGTGACCGGCCTCCGTGCCCGAGACCCCCGTCAAGCAGCTCGGCAGAATGGTCACGCTGTTCCCTTAAGAACGTAGACGCACCGCCGAGACGTTAACGGAGAAAGGGGGCCATATATATACCCTATATTCCCTGACATTTACGCAGACTGAGTTTCACATTTCAGCCATGTTAATAATGCCAGTGTTTTCACATGGGAAGGGCTTTTTGTGAGTGCGCAGAACGGCTAGACTTCGCGCAAATGGGTCTTGACTTTTAGAGCAAAATAAAATGTCCTGTTAATAACATTAAAGTAACGGCATTAAAAGGTTACGTCCTGATTTGAGAAAGGACATGGGTGCACGTGTGAGAGTGTGCGGATGTGTTCATGAGTGGAAATAGGGCTGTATAACCGTTAGAGTTACTGCAAGGTTTTGCAATAACAGCACAAGGAGACTCTTGAGAAAAAGATGCTCAGGAGGGTTTGTGCAGCCCAGTCTGGAAACGATTCTTACGGTTATTTCTGCTAAACCAAAACAATAAAAAGGCAAAAGGCAGACAGACTGTCAAATAGAAATCTACAAAACAAAATAACATCCACTATTCATGGACAGTCTTGACTTAAAGGCCTGAGAGAGATAGAGAGAAGGGAAGAATAAGGTGAAGGAAAAGGGTGAAAAAGAGACAAAGTGGAAGCATAAAGGGAAGAGAAGAAGAGAGATAAACTGACAACTTGACACATACTCATTGTTGGTGTCAAAATTTATCTCATGACAGAAGCGATGGATATTTAAAAAAAAAGGGGCCAGTGGATGTGTGTTTGTGTTTTTTTTTTTTCCACCAGTGGCAATGCTTGGCTGCTCTGATGTGCAAACACAATGCCATACACACACAGACACACACAGCTGGTCTGGGCAGCAGTTTCTGGGTTAGTCTTGAAGAGCAGTGGCCTGTCACGCAGATGTCAAATACATCAAGCTGCTCACAAATTCCAAAGACATAGAGACAGACCCATTCTACTCCACAGATGAGCCTAAGCGAATGCTCTTTTCTCTCACACACATGACATACACACACATAAACAAATGAAGGTGGGGGGGAGTGCATTCACACACAAACAATAGCTCAAACCAAATTAACCAGGCCAGCTCTCCTCTTAGATCAGAGATGAGTAGACAGTCAAATATAGGACTAAAAGGTCAAATTTACAGTATGTTGGGTTTAAGTAGAAAAAATTGTCATTCTGAACAAACTTAATGTTTATTCTTGTGGAACTGGCTGAGTAAACCTCAAGGAGAAACCGCTACCTTTAAATGTATGGATAATATTTACAACATTCAACAGTGTAAAATAATTTTTACATTTTATATATATATATATAGACACACACACACACAATGATATATCTTGTAGTAAACACACATGTTGCTTAAAAAAAAATATGGTGCTGCCAGTTTAAATATTGGCAGATCAAGTACAAATCAGAGCACCTAACAAGCAGAAAAACAATCTTAGATATTTTATTGTGTTACAAGTAGTATACCTTACAAGTAAATAATATAGGACAAAAATGTTTAAATAAAAATAACACTACAGTTATCATGGGGTGTACAAACATTTCCCAGCACTGAAGAGTCTTGCAATGATGTCAAAAAAGCTTGGAAGAACAGGTTAAAAAGTAAATTATTGTAAATAGATGTAAAATATATGTATATATTGAAGATAGAAAATGAAAAAATACAAGTAAATTATTTTTTTAACTAAAAAATATTTTTATGGTGCGGCCAGTGAAAATATTGGTAACGCAAGTACAAATCTGAGCGACTGAAAAGCAAAAAAATAAAAAAATCCTTACAGTAGAGTGTGTTTGCCAACACATCTGAGAGTTTCATTGCATGTATGCGTGTCTGGCGGTATTGAGGCCCACGTGTATAATAGAGCGCCGTGTTTGGCGAGTACACGGTTGGAGCTTGTGTGTCACCAGTTACCGAGCTCCTCTTCTCCTGCTGAATCAAACACTCTGACAGCTAACCTGTACAACATCAAACCCAAACATGGCGGCAGACACACACATCAAACACACTTCCTCCACGTCTCCTATTTGTCAGGGAGTTGCGGAATGTATTCTGCGGGTGACGGAACTACAATCGGACAGGAGCAAGAGGAAAAGCAGGGGATGTCCTCCTTGAAGGGAAGGGAATGAGAAAACGGACACACCTGAGTAAACAGAGCCGTTTACCTCATGCTGAAGGCTTGTGTGTGACTGCATCGAACCTGCCTGCGAGAACACACCACATAGGTGCCATGACACACGCCCGTGGACCCGACTCAAACAGACTCACAGCCGTACTAAAGTGGAAATGTAGTCAGAGTGTCAGGATCTCTAAGTAACAGGAAAGAGTTTCCATCATGTTACAAAGATGTGAACACCGCAGAGGAGGTTTAGCTGACAGCCAGATGATCCATGTGGCAAACTCACGGTTAGCTCAGCTCAAACAGGACGGTCCTATGGAAACAAGCACCACATTATTGACCATTTAGATTTGGCCGACGAAAGTGAGGCCGAATGAAAAGTCTGGAAACGGCTCCATTGTTCCAAAGTCAATGGGTTTTTGGTTAAACACCCAAAATAAGGTCTGTTGTTACCGCAAGCTCAAGATATGTTTACACTTAATTCCATGCCCAACACCACAAGAGGGCAAAACGGGGTATTACCCTCCCCAGATCTGATCTGTGCCCCCTCGTTATCAATTTTTTCCTAGGTACAGGGAACCATTAAGTTTTCTCTTTTCTACTCCCAGTTCACCGACCCCTTACTTGTGTTTTTGGGAGAAGTAGATTAATTTACGTAATGTAAATTATTTTGGAGCACACTATGCTGGCACCTATCCCGAGTCAACTAACATGTCACTGTAAAGGTGGGTAAATGACAAAAACACATTCACAAACACCATTGACCATAATATAACAACTAGTTAATGATATAGTTAACAAGTCTAATACAGTGCTATTGTGGCTGTGGTTCACACCGGTACATGATGGCCCCCTCGTGAATTATGAATGCCTTCTATGTGTCTTGAAAAAGGTGGTTACTACCAAATGGCTAAATAGGACTACTGAGGTTGTCAGAGACATTTAACATCATTACGCACAACAGGAAAAAGCACCTACTCAGTCCGCTATTACAGCCTCTTTGTGCGTACCTGTGCTGTTGCAAACTATTCTAACTCAGAGTTTCCAACGTGTAGATTTTAAATAATGATTGAAAGAGTTGTCAGAAGCTTACTGGTGATGTTAAAGTTGTGCGTGTTGAAGTTTATTAATAGCTTAAGTTTAGCTCTTTAACTTCTGGTGATTGTATTTAGGCTTCAAAGGTCCAATGTTCTCGATGAACGAAAACTTTTGTTGATCAGAGAGCTTATTTTCTGCAATAATCCAAAAATCGTGTTTTTTTTTTGTTTTTTTTTTTTTTTTTCCAAGGGAACCAGGACAGGGTAATGCTAACTTCTGGGTTTGTCTACAAAATAACATCCTGTAGTTATTGTGTTGTTATTAGTTACTTATAAAGAGGACATTACATTTCCTGAAGAACAACTGTGGTGCTTGAATGTAAAAAAAGTCATCGGAACATTGGTTGCCAGGGCATTATGTGTTTTCAATAGGGTGTTCTGGGCTGTAATAATCATGCAAGTATGCAAATGCAGGCGCGAGGGCTTTGCCAATGCATCGCCAACAAGCGGTCTGGTGGACATTTATCGTGTGCTCTTCTGTTGGTCTGGAGGTAATGAACCTGAGAGTAAGCAAATACTACTTTGTTACCAGAAAGAGAAGACTGACAGTAAACAAACACATTTACCATTATCCCTGCTAGAGCACCCCTAATGGCAGATGCTGAGAATGTAACATACTTGCTGTAAATAGACACATTTTGTAACAATGCACAGAAATGAAATTTGCACAGATAGAAGTATTTGCATTCCAATCACATAATTCTCAGGCAGAGTACAAACCGTACAGTTTAAAAGTAATAGTTTTTTTTTTTTTTTTTTATCTTTTTGTCTTTTTTTTTTAATCTCTAACCCCAAGTATGAGCATTAGTTATAGCACCACTAATTACTTTAAGAATAAGTTATGACATTTTTGGTTAATATAAAACAAAAATATAGTATAATTGTATATTTATTTTAAGTTAATAAATAAGAATATTTATTTTTTGAGGAACAAAGTTGCTGAAAAGCAGAGTCTCTAAAAGAAGAGTTGGTAAAACTTTAGTTCAGTGTCCAATTCTCACTATTAACTAGTTGCTAAGCATGCATTTTAGGATATTGGCTGATTATTACTTATAAAGTACATATTAATGCCTTATTCTGCATGACCTTGTTCTGCATTCCTTAATAATGCCCAAAACCTAAATTTAACAACTACCTGTCATACTTACTT